CCCCGCCTCCAGGGCATTGTCACCTTACCCAGATAGCTGTACCCCCTCCCGATGTCAGAGAGGACCTGGGGAGTGGGGGGGGGTCACTTGAAGACAGCTGTGAAGTGAACTGGAGGCTCAGCATCCCTGGCTTTGCTCTGATTGGCTCTCTTTTTCCCTGAATGACACCTACCGATCAGGTTCAAAGGGGCCCACTGGGAGGCCACAGTCTCCAGGCCACCTGATTAGTGGGTGACGCCTCGTTGCCGTTGCCAGGACACCGCTGTGCGCAGATCAGAATTAGATGATGACTGCAAGGCTCCAAAAAGAGACATTTACATCTCTTATTTTATTGCTATTTTGTTAAGAATTATACCCAGTAGCAGAGAGATTGACTGTATGATTTATGTATCTGATCAGCTGAGATCGAAAGTCCTCGTATGAATGTCGGTAGAGTGACCTTATGTCAGGAGTAAAAGAGGGACGTATTTCAGATCACTGGGTCTGCTGCCTAATGTTTGCCTTTGAACACTGCCCAGGGTCAGAGGTGAGGGGTGATAGGTCAGGGAGGGTATTGTGTGACCTCGGGGTGTGCGTGCATGTGCTAAGACGTGGATTTTATGTACGGTGTATAATATGGGAGAGAAGAGAGGGGAGGAGAGACAGGAGAGAGCTATTTGTCTGTTCTGCATGGAACTGCCTAGTAAGTATCTAGGAGTTTTAGTCTTAAGTTACCCTAGTCAACAGAAGTCTGGATCAGAGGATTCGGCTCATATCCTGTAAGGACATGCCTCTTCAGCCCAGGCTCACTGCAGAGATGTGTTGGCATAGCATTCAGAATGAAACAAACGCCTGGCCTTCTGGGAGCTCCAAAGAGCTGGTTGCCTGTGGTGACGGGCAGGTATTTCGAGATCATCAGGTCTGTTGGTGAATATCTAGAGTCTGTGCACCTTCCCACATTGGGCGCAGCTTTGCCAAATTCCCCCTGGCTGCCTTGACGGTAGCTGAGTTCAATGAGTCATTTATTTAATGCAGCAACTAAACATTCATGAGGAATGAGGCTTTGAACCCTGCAGTGGGTGGGATTAGCATCCCCTCTCAGGCTGGTGGGTTTAACTCATTTCCTTTTAATAGGTCAAATCAGACTGACTGACAAAGCAGGTTAATCCCGCCGTGTTTAAACAGACCAGGCACGTGTGTCGTGTTCTTAGACGCTAAGCTAATAATTAAAAAGATCCCCTTGCATCGCTGAAACATTTAGCGATCAAGTAGCTAACAGGCTAAATCTGGAGATCACTGAGCTTAGACAGTGATTTTCACTGCATGGTGTATTTATCTACCGTGGCATCTTCTGATGCTAGGTCTAGATTGCTAGCTTGCTCTGATTATGCATATCTTAAGCCTCTGATGCTCTTGCAAGAACTGGGCTCTACCCGAGTTTGAGATTCTGATCGCTTGAGTAGAGCTAAAAATATCCCACTAGGAAGCACGCATTAATCCCGGACATGGCCCGACTTCCCGCGACATACATAACGGAGGTGAAGGTGACGTATCTCTGTGTCTTTTTGGCTTCAGCTGGACCCTCAGACGCTGCAGGGAAAAGACTGGCAGAGGTCGGTCATCGCCACGAACGGGGTGAGTCCTGGAAGGCCACAGCCAGTGGCGTCAAGCTATAAATGGTAGTTTGTGAGGGGAGGGGTGACCCCAGTAACTTGCGCCGGCCTGTTTTCCTGTGAGCAGATTGAGGTGAAGCTGTCCATGAAGTTCACGAGCCGGGAGTTTAGCCTGAAGAGGATGCCGTCACGAAAGCAGACTGGGGTCTTCGGGGTGAAAATCGGCGTGGTCACCAAGTGAGTCTCCTCTCCCTGTGCCAAAATGGAGCAGGGGCTCTCGGGAAAACACACACAGCTCTATTATGCAAATTTTATTTAGTTCAGTGCTTTGTAGTCACTGTTACTCAATATGTAGGTTCATACTTTTGGGAAAAATATTTACCCATTTATAGTGGTGGATATTTTAGGAATTTAGGTGTACTACTTCATGAGTATAACAGGGCCCCATCCTGGCACTTAAAGTAGAATTTTTTAGAATTTAGTGATCAGTAGTCATTGTTGACACATCACAGTGTACAACAACGAAATGTGTCCTCTGCATTTAACCCATATGTGACATTGTGACATAGCAGGGGGCAGCTAATTCAGCACCCGGGGAGCAGTGCTTGGAGGAGGTACCTTGCTCAGGGTACCTCAGTGGTGCCTTGCTGGGCGAGGATTCGAACCTGCAATCTTTCAATTACAAGTGCGCTTCCCTAACCATCAAGCCACCATTGCCCAGAAGCGTTTCATAGAGATGTTTACCACACAATAATACTGTCAAACTCAGACCAGCCTACTTTAAAAGGGAGCTTATCCCAGATCTGGCTGCTCCAGAGGTATCACCAGGGGAAGCTTGGAAAACCTTTGAGTACAGCTTAAAATCCAAAAGAGGGCTTTTTTCTTTTTTACAGAGACCCTTACAATGGTGTTTAAGGACAAATCAAAATGACGAGGGATAAATCTGGGAGGCCAAAAATAGCCTTGAGTAAGATGGGAGGCTGATATCTGCTTTTGCCTTTCGTCTGAAATGGAAGACAGGAAGTGGGACACTCCGCATACTTTCTCAGAAGGGCTTTCATGCTAAACCATGGGAGGCCAGACACACCTTCTTCATAAGTGTAGAGAGAGACTGGTGTCACATTTCCAGTCTGTTAGAATGAACGCTTTTGTCACACTGAACTGTATCTGCCCAAAATCAGACAGCTGAACCACCGGTACTGACAGCAGGTGGGCTAAAGTTTTATATGTGAATTATTTGACAATATATGTGCACAGAAAGGTTAGCAGCACCATTGCTAATTTTTTTGTTTCCAAGAGACCTACTAATACTAGGATGCATTACACCAGAGATCCGATGAGAGATAAGCATATTCTGTGTGACTGTATAGCCTCCGTCTATCTGGAACTAGCATATTATATAGCATTCTTTGGAGTTGCCTAGCAGTTAAACCTGCGCTAACACTGTTACCAGATACCCTAGCCATTGTTAAAATGTTTGAACAAACTCTGGAACTCCTGTTTACAGCATCGTCGCATGTGGGCAGTGGAGACAGGGAGGCCAGGTCACAGGGCTGATTTAGTCCTGGAGGAAGGAAGTCGGGCTAAATGGAACCAGAAACCCAAACCAGGGGGTCGGGTTACCTGGTTTGAGGGATTTGGCTTGTCCAGGAGGGATTTGCTACCGCTGGTTAGCCCAGCCTGTACTTTCTGGCCAAGTCAGGTGATAAAGGAAAAAAAAACAGGTTTTTTTAAAATTATTTTTTAAACTCTAACAAACCCTCATGCCGTGACGATTTTCGAAAGTACATTGACATGTACAGTATTTAGCCGACTCTTGTCCAAAAAAAGTGATGCGTAAAATGCATAAGAAGTATGCTTTGCGTTTGTTTGTGGTCAGCTGCTACTTCGTGTTACCTTGCCAATCTTTCCGTCATCGTGTCTGGGTCGACTGGTTGAGAATACCGCTGAAACCACGCTGAGGTCTGAAACACCAGAAAGCACACCTTTAGTGAAAGCTTGCGATAAATATCCTTGAGATCGTCGAGATGAGATTGTCGCATTCATTTCTTTGTTTCTATGCAAAATCAGTATGGTAATGCATTCCAGCACATTTCAGCATGACAAGCTGTCTCCCGATTAGATGACATCACAGTAAAGCCGTAGGCAAGATGAACTTTTCTTGATCAGTGCAGCCCCCTGTGGTATTTTTCTCGGTTTTGTTGGGTGTAACTGGTTAAATGCATCAAAGGGCTTGTCGAGAGAGTGAAGGGCCCTGCTGTGTAACCTTGGGCAAGACACTTCATCTGAATTTCTCCAGTAAAATATGCAGTTGCATATTTCAACAGTAATTTTGTAAAGTGATAATTAACACTAATTGTGAACATTGGAAATAAGTGACTAATGTACATCAACATTACCTACAACATATGACCTACTTCTAATAAAGTGAAAATTTCAACAATGGGAAAGGCATTACAGATGTTTTCTTTCAAAGTTTCGAACAATCAAACCTTTATAGAAAATCTGTTGATCATTACTTAGGGAGTTAAGAGCATTAACAATGTAATTATGGTGCTAGTATGCTGAAGGACACAGCAGTGTAATGTTTTACAAGAGCAATTACAATACCTGAAAGTTATTAAAGGTTTGTTTAGACCAGCATTTCTCAAACTAGTCCTGGGGGAGCCCCAAGACGTCCTACATTATTGCTTTGATTGTTTGGTTCAGGTGTATCTGGACCAGGGATCAATAAAGTATTGTGAATCGGAATTTGAAAATGTGGACTGTCTGGAAGTCTCCATGGACTGGTTTCAGAAGCACTGGTTTTAAACATTGCTGGCCTAAGCATGTGACATGGAATTTGACTCGCAACTGAGGGAGGGGAGGGGGTCGATCTGGAAAATGAAAATGCTGTTCTCTCATTTTTTATGCAAGCTGTTTATAATGAGTCTGTTTATACCAAGCTGTAGAAATAAACATCAAACCATAAACGTTACTTGGCAGGTACCCCCCAAGAGTGTAATACCTGAAATGAGATTCTCCTGTATTGCAGTTTTTTTCTGTGTGGAGAAGCTGCTGTCAGTTGAAGTATTTACCCGGATTGCAAAGTCTGCATGGAGTACAGCTGGTGACTGTGTATGTGTGTGTCAGGCGGGAGCACTCCAAGGTGCCCTACATCGTGAGGCAGTGCGTGGAGGAGGTGGAGCGGCGGGGCATGGAGGAAGTGGGCATCTACCGTGTATCAGGCGTGGCCACCGACGTCCAGGCCCTGAAGGTGGCCTTTGATTCCAGTGAGTCTTACTGGCTTCTTGCCATGGGAGGGCAGTAGAGAGCTACACACTGTACCATGGCAATGCCTTGCTATTTCCCGGGGGTGGGGCGGTGTTATTTTTCTGAGGTGTCTGATTGTCAGCTCCCAATTAATTTTATTTAATACCTTAATATTTTCTTTCAAGTCAAAAAGTAAAAAATGTTTTCAGACAAAAGGTTCTCATTCAAAATTGTAAGGCATTAAATAAAATGTATGGGGATTGAAAACCTTTGTCTGAAAACTTACTTTTTTGCTTGAAAAAAAGTTTCATCCTGCTTGGTAAGGTTTGTTTAAAAGTCAGTTTTACAACATGAGTTCCATGTCATTTTTAAAAAATTATGAAAAATTGTTGTCTAATTTTGAAAATATAATCAAAGGATTATTTTCCTCACAGAGATGGAAAAAAAAACCTATAAAGTAGTGAATTATTATACTACAGGTGGCACTGGCTTGTATGTTGTGAAACATGATGTCATCTTAGATACACTTCCTGTATCTGTGAGTGAGCTGTTCCCACTGTCGTTCCTGCAGACAACAAAGATGTGTCCGTGATGATGAGTGAGATGGATGTAAACGCCATCGCGGGGACCCTGAAGCTCTATTTCCGGGAACTTCCAGAGCCCCTCTTCACCGACGAACTGTACCCCAACTTTGCAGGAGGCATCGGTCAGTTGTGATTTATTCCTATAGCACCTCTGTAAGCCTTGGTTGTTAGCAGGTAGGCAGCTTTAAACATCAAAATGTCAATAAATTGTAACGATACTACTACACTGCTTTTCATCACTTTGTCCTTGCTTCCGATAACAATGGATTACATCACAATGGATGAACACATGTAGGCCTATGTTAAGAAAATAGCTTTGTATCAATCCAGCAGCCATCTGTTTGGTGGGTATGCTGGTTTGTTACATGTAACACTCTTCACAGAAATGTGCCTTAATGAGCTACTTTGTGTCATTGCTATAGCCCTGTCAGACAGTGTAGCCAAAGAGAGCTGCATGCTCAACTTGCTGCTTTCGTTGCCTGAACCCAACCTGGTCACCTTCCTGTTCCTGCTTGACCACCTGAAAAGGTACCGACCTGCATCATTTCTTGATGGCTCCTCTGGTCACAGGCCACGGGTCTAAGCTTCCTACAGTTCCAGGCCCTAACTCCACTTCGAATGACCCCCCTCCCTCGTTTCCCCCAGGGTGGCCGAGAATGAAATCATCAACAAGATGTCGCTCCACAACCTGGCCACGGTTTTTGGCCCTACCTTACTCCGCCCGTCTGAGAAGGACAGCAAGATCCCCACCAATCCCACGCTCCCCATCTCCATGGGCGACAGCTGGTCACTCGAGGTCCTGTCACAGGTGTGGTCCCACGACATCTTGTAGATCAGTGTTTCCCAACTCAGTCCCTGGGGACCCCAGCTGGGAGGGAGCACAAACGTGGACTGTCTGGCAGGAAACTGTGAGGGAGCAAAAACAGTGTGTCACAATTTTGTGGCTATTTTGTATGGCATCTTGCTGATGACAGATAGGACAAAATGCAATTGATAAACAAACGGGGTGCATGGCAAAATGTTCTGGTCCACAAATTTAGCAGAGAACTGCTCTTGTATTTCGCCTGTAAAATATACCCAACTGGAAAGATATATAGAGTCTGTAAGCCATGTGGATCATTTTGCTTATTTAAATTTTTTTTTTTTAACTATTTTTATCATTGCTTTTTTCCATTACAAAATAGATCACAAAATACAAACACATATATACAAGAAAGAAGGGGAAAAGAAAAAGAAAACAGGCACAGAGCTTTAGCCAGCTGCACTGCACGCTGTCCTCCCCACACACTTTTGACTGCGATTCGCTTGCCCTCCATCTCTCCCCAGGTCCAGGTCTTGCTGTACTTCCTGCAGCTGGACACCATACCCACGCCAGACAGCAAGCGACAGAGCATCCTCTTCTCCACAGAGGTGTAGCGGGAGCAGAAAAAGCAGAGCCGTATGTGCAAGAGGCCAGACAGGGGGCTCCCTGGGTCACAGGGGCTGCTGTTCATCTGCACTGAAACAGTGCACTATCATGTCAGCTGCTCTGTAGCTGGCGCTTGCATAAAAAGACCATCAGAGGGCGCCATAACTGCACCGAACTGACACAAGAGCCTCCTGAAAACACATTCCTTTCGCTGTTGTCTTCTGAACATTCTCAGTTGATTGTGTTTCGTTAGGCTGAGTGTTTTTGGTGTTTTCTTTTGTCTTACTCTCATTTTAAAAAGTCTGTAACTGGTGTGCAATCTTTTTAGTCAATCGGTATGCACGCTCGAAGGATTATAGTTGAAATCCATGATAGCTGGTGAGGGAGGCAGGAAGATCTTGTTCGTTGTTGAAGGCCGGGTGCCTTCGCTGTGGTTTCTCTCCCTATCTCGCGATGTTATACGTTACTGTCTTCTTCAGACAGGTCGCCTGCCTTTCTTTACCATTCAGGGTTTGCATAGACTGTGGAAATCACCAGGAGATGTGCACGCCTGAAACTACTTCACATTCTCTGCATCATGGTTTCCGGGGCTTACTGAGAGCCTGTAATTCCACGCTGCTTTAACTAACTTGTGACAATCGAGTGTGCCATAGAAGTATCTAGGAAAACCTTGGTTGTCGTGAGGAGGAATCCTCTGAGAATTAAAAGTAGTCTTACTACTGAGGGAACGCAGTTACTGCCATATTGACATTTTAACATCTGCATTTGTAGATAAGTATTTTACGAGGCCAGGAAAAAAAAACACAGAGCATGTGAAGACATCTCATTGGTGACAGATGCTTTGCTAAGATTGACGTGAGTCAGGAGCTTGGAATTTGCATCAGCGTTGTGCCTGGATATAATCAGTGTCTGCAGCGCAGGACCTCATGAGGAAGCATCTTACCTGCGTGCCTCTTCCCAAGCCGATGGCTGCTCTGGGGCACAGCGTTAAGAGCTGGAATGTCTGCATTATGGGCTAGACCACCTTCTTGACTTATGTCATCGTACTTGCGTTGTCTCGGTGGTGAGGTATGCCATACATGAGCTGATTCAGGTGTCGTCTGTCATTGGCTGACGTTCAGTATGTGTGCGTAGCCGCCGCCTATGCTTTGGCTCTCATGATAACTCATTCCAGGCAACCAGCATCTCTGTTTTACGTACGTTTAACACGCTAATCCGGTGTGTCGCTACTGTATCTCTCATAGGAAGTATAACGTGAAAACATTCTGTAATATGGGCAACTTGAAAGCTGAGCTTTGACTTTGTATGTATTTTTTCTTTCATTGAGAGCATTTTCGTGTTTTTCTAATTTGCCGTAAATGGTGTACTTTGTAATCACTTCACATAACAAAAAAAAACAAAATATCCAGGCTGTCAAAGATTGCTTTATGAATAGGTTGTTCACTCTTACCATTTTTAGCTCAGTGGAAATGCATCCATTTAATCTGAAGCTCCCTTGAGGAGTGCTGCAGGCTGCCCCCTACTGGTCAAGGTGATCTCTACATCAGCACATTGCCTCTCCTGTCATTTCTCTTCAGTGGGGGGCGGGGCTTCGGAAAGAGCAGCCCACCGTTAACTGGTAGATACAGAAATGCACGGCAGGCAGGATGTGTTGCAATTCAATGGACAATAGATGGTATCCCGCTGCACTCGGCATAAGTAGCGAATCATGTGGAATGCCGGATAGTTGAGATCCAACCCACCTACATACCAGTTAGCTGATCGTAATAAGTGCAGGTTTATTTATTTGTATCACTTACATTTTAGAGTGATGTTTTGGTATGGCTTACACCAGTAGTGTCATTCCGCCCAACCTCAAACCCGCCCAACCCTAGCTGGGATTTCACTGCTCCTGGGCATAGTTGGGATGGGTGGGAATATTCTCAGCATTCACAGTTAGCGGTTAGTAATCGGTGCTGACAGCACTAGCTGGTAACATGCCCACTGTAAACGAGTCATCAGAGGGAGGTTATGTCTAAAGTCTATGTTACGTCTAAAGTCTATGTTATGTCTAAAATCTAAGCGTAACAGTTTACTAATTGCCAGTGGTGCATTTTGCTGGCTTTGTTTGTCTTCCCCAATATCATTTTTCGTATTTCGCTTGTATCTTAATGATCTTGGTTTGAGTTTTTTCTTTTATTTGATAACAAATATATCAGAGGATAGTGAGCTGTGTTATTTCTTTATTTTTTTTAAAACCTCTAACATGCAGGCATGTTGATTTCAATGTGATGATTTTAAAACGTATTTCTCTCAAGGCTAATGTTTTTTTTATTTTTTTTTTTTTTTTTAGTTTTTTTACAGAAGCTAAGCCAAGCCATTTCACCCAAAACATTTTTGGGGAGGTCATATACAAATGTTGACAATGTTTTTTAAAAGCAAGAAGGAAAAACTGGCAAACATTCCTGTTGTCTGAGTTTGTGCATCCTTTTTTGGACTATGGGAAGTAGCCTTTAAGGGAGTAGGCTCCTCCTCCTGGGGAAGCTTCAATGTTTATAGGCTGGCAGAATCTTGGGACTCTTCTGATTGGTTGGTTGTCTGGGAACCAGAAGCTCGGTGCCAGTTGTAGATGAGTCCCATGCTCAGACCTGTCGTGACTTGCAGGGTCACGCCATGGACCACCAACAATTGGGGTGAAGAGAAATGTATGAAGAGTGATAACGGGAAGGGCGAGGGGGTGTATCTCTGGTGGTGGTGGGGTGTGGAAATGCATTAACAACAAACTGATGTTACCTTCAAACAGGAGCCGAGTTTTGATGAAAGTCAACCCTTTGAACCCACTATAGATTCAAACATTCAGAACTTAAAAAAAGATTTTTTTTTCCACTTCAGTTACTCTATCTTATGCTGGGCATCTGCCCTCCATGTCCGAGCAGCCAGCAGCCCTTCTCTGGCAGTTTCCCCCAGACCTGCTGTGCCATTCGAGCACATCAAAAAGCCGATCCAGACACGGGTTTCAGGGCGTGATGGTGCCAAGCTTAGGCGTATCCCACAGAGGCCTGTCTCTTCAAACGTTTGTTCTTTAATCGAAGCTCACCGAGTTCGAAACTCCACCCTCCTGTCTGGGACAGTAGCCTTTAATCGATTTTGGTTTTACCACAGGGGCGTCTAAGCCACGTTGACCAGGACGTTAAGTCAAGTTAAGGCTTCCCAAAAACAGCACTGTGTGGACCTGTGGGTGACTCTCTATCATTGCGTTTCGCCGGTTCCCGTGTGCCAGGGGCAAAAGCGAGGCAGCTACGCTACCCAGATATCAGAAATTGGGTCTGAAACCTGTTTGAGGCCCATTACTATCATTTGGTTTTTGTTCCCTATTTATTTATATGATTCCAGATATCCACTGTGATCACTGTGTCTTATGGAGAATGAAGTCTTTAAGGTCTTGAGTGTTCCTGCCGAGTGTAAGCAGGGCCACATCAGTAGTATGTAAGAACCCACTGATTCAGAAGCAGTCGGGGGAAGCAACAAGGTTTATATGTATATAACAAAGCTTCTGACTCCTTTCTCCCTGCCTTTTTCTTACTTATTCCAAAAATGTGCAAAGATCTAGGTAATGGGTTTATTTATTGAGATGTCAATCAAGATTTAACTATATAATTAGTAATTATAGTAGTAGTATTAGACTGTTTAGAAAGGCTACTTCTAACTGATTTTCCACATAATTAAAATCTTTTTTATTGTAATTAGTCACTGACATAATCCCCTCAGATCTGAAGACGTGTAAATTGAGAAAGTTCTAATGTAAGATTTCATGCTTTCTGAAAATGCTCTGCTATCACGAAAGACATGACAGCTTAGGGAAAACATGCAGTTGACACAATGTTTTTATTTATTTTTTTCTAATTCCTGTTTACTGATCATGTTGCTGCAAAGAGGAAAGATGTTCCGGAACTGTTCACAGCCTCTGTTTGTACACGGAAATTTAAATAAAACCACCTGTACGTACGTAAGACTCTTTTCTCGCTTTATCCTGTAAGGAGTTCACTGAGCGGTGAGCAGCTAACAGAAAATGAGAGGGGGGGGGATTTGCACATTATACCATATAATATCAATTGCATTACTTAGTTCCTCCAAAATTTGTTTTTACGAAACAGCCTACATTTCCCTGCCAAAGAGGGGCACCGCGGCCAAGCCCCTCTGGGATCTTATATCTACAACCTCCTGGCCACAAATATAGCTCTTTGAGCGCTACATCAGCTGCGGCCCTCTAGGGACATCAGTGAGGGCAGATCTGATGTTTTCCAAAGCCTTTGACCATGCTCTCCGTAAACATAACCTATTATTGCATACAAGACAAGGTTACATATAGTAAAGGTGGATAGTTCAGGTCCAGAAGGTAAAAATCCAGACCAAGATTTTGTTTCAACCAACCAGTGGAGTACTCTGTGACACTTTATACTCAACTGTTTGGTTGAAACAAAATCTTGGTCTGGATTTTTACTTTCTGGACTTGAACTATCCACCTCTGCATATGAGGGAGGAGAGTAGAAAAAATGGAAAAGTCCATACAGGCAAATCAAGAGGCATGTAGGTGAGGTCATGTGGAGTGACTGGTAGGCTGTGGCTATAGTGGTGCCTCTTCTCTGTTGCCTGGCATGTAAAGAGGAAATAATTTCCCATAGAATGCCTGAAAAGGGCTTTGATGGTTCCTGTGGTTGAATACGGTGGGTTGGGGGAGGGGGGTTGGGCATGGCCTTGGTAAGCTCTTCAGGGCCGCCACAGACAGTGACAATGTTCTTTGTTCATTGCGCATTATTCGCCCTGCCAATGTTATCAGTTTCGGCCAATCAAATCAAAACGTATCCTAGGGGTCGAAGAGTAACTATTTCAATACGAAGTATTTAGTATAGCATATAGCCAATGTTTAGAAAACTGAATATTCTTCTGGAACCCCATTAAAGAGTGTGATCAAGTATGCCTGGTTTATAAATGTTCAAATCATGTGCAAAATTAGTGACATGTTAAGTTACATACAGATTCATCCATACAGCAACTGCCATTATATAAACATGCCATTCGCTGCAGACGAAAAGTTACTCTGTTTTGAATTGCTCATCACAGTACTCAAACATGTTAACTTGCATTTATATAAATAACAAGGCCTCCTCCAACGGCATGAACAAAACAGATTGGTGAAAAGTATCAATGCAAATACTGAGCTACGTAGGTGCAGCTTAGCCACAGAACTTTAAAAGTAGCATGTAAGAAACTACATTTGCTTTAAACCTTTGGGACCACATTTTACTGATTTGAGTTCAAGTCCAGGTCTGAAGTACGTAACTATTCGCTGCCTTATGGTTTTAATTATCCGGCTTTATCTGCACCTGCCAACCAAATCACGAACGTGTCACAGATATTGACAGTGGAAGAGCATAAAAACCGCTGACCAGAATCTGACAGGATCTGCGTCATGAAGCTGTCAGTGCAGTGGTTATGTTGGGTGGGGTATGGAGCAAAGAGTTTAGGTCTCTTTAAAAACTTGGCAGATCTGTATGACGCCGAAAAGTTAGGTTTAAACACGAAGTACTTTCAATAGGTCCCTGTACAGGTCCGAGACTACAACAGAAATGTCGGTACAGGCTTGCCAGTGTGCAGTTTCACATTCAATTTTATTTGTCAAGGTGTTTTGATTAATTTTATCCATAGCCAAACAAGTATTTTATGTTCGTACTCATACACCGACCGTTCGTTTTCGTGTAAAAAAAATACATATCAAGAGATGCACAGTAATCATTACACGTAAAATTAAAATGGAAGCTTTTGCTAACTGGTACGTTCGGTTAAATCATTTTAAAGTATTTACCATTTTACAAGTACGAAAAACCATTATTACGAAACGGGTATAATTTATACGCGTCTAGCTGGGGGGAAAACCAGCGTGAATCAGCAATGTACTGCTTTGTTAACCTTTTACGCGAAACCCGGTGAACAACACCCTACCCCCCCCCGGGACAGCAGGGTCCGCACTCCACGCCGGCATGGCGCCCCCTAACGGCCTCCTGTGTTCGGCCAGAAGATATCCCAGAGTTCCCAGCGGTCCATTGAACTGGAAAAAAGGAAGGGCTACGAGCGCAGATGCAAGAGTACTAGATTCTGAGTTGCTGTGTTCCATTTAAAGTATTTTTTTAGTGAGGAGTCCCAGCATTCACTGGGGTTTCTTCCAAATAACACTGCTGCACCGACATTTCTCATGAAGACGACAGCCAGTTTTCAGTCAGAGATTAGGAAGACTGCGCCTGCTCTCCATGGATACTTGATTTGCGCAGATAGAGGAGCGCTCTCTTGGTGGGATAGCCAATCTACTTGCTATATATCTACGTCGGGCTGCTAAAAAAAAAAAAAAAAATCGGTACTCGCCACCCTGACAACCGGATCAATCCCGGAGTCCGGCGGCGGATGCTGGCTCTCGGGATAACCGTACCGATACGCCGCGTCCCGGCCTCCCGGAGCCGCCCGTGAAGCTCCCAGCCGGCGAGGTGGCGGACGGACTGCGTACGTTTATGGGACGAGTGGAAGAAGCCGAGGTGAGGGTGGGAGCAGCGCCCGTAACCCGTCCCGCGAGCGGAGCCGTCTCCTCATTCTCGGAGCTCGCGCTGACTGTCGCTAGGCACTCGCGACGGCTCGGGACGGTAGGTGGGAGGTCGCGGTCCCTAACCTCTGTTCGTAACTGCACCCGTGGGACGGCTCAGCGGTCCTGCACAGATCCGAAAGTTGAGCGCGGAGCGGCGTCCGGTTAGACTGGTCTCGGCCGGCTGCTTCCCGGTAAACGGAGCCGCCTCCGACGCTCGCCTTTTCTGACATTCCAAGACCGTTAGGCGTCCGTTGCCGCCCTCGTTTCGGCCGCGCATACCTGGGTCAGGGAGCGGCTCTAGATGGGGGTAACGGTTCGCCTCGAAATACCGCTCCACCTTCCGAGCTCGCTTGGGAGAAGCCGCTGGGCTTCCGCCGATTTATGAGCGCAAAGATGCGATGCGAGTCAGACGCTCGTAGTTAAAGGGACCCCTGGCTGCATGGATGCTTGGGCCGCTGGGAGACACTATACGTTAAAACTAAAACTGTGTGGCTGTTTATCTTTGGTAACCAGTCTTAGGATTACTACTATCTTATTTGCCATCTGTGTATATAAATATCCATTTTTATAAGGGGCCAGCGCCGTTGTTATGAGGGATTTATACTGTGGTTAAGCGATTTGGATAGATCAGATTTTATCAGCACCAGTGTCCTTTCCCCGTGGCTCGAACCCCCCCCTGGTGGGGTCCATCCATCAACCCTGTGATCAACAATGAAGCGTGGAGACATGGGGAACCGCGGCGTGGCTGTAGTTGCTCAATCTGCTGTTGTGTCTGGACGCCACATCTGCATTCCACATCTTTGGCCCACATCTTTAGGGTTAAGGGTGTTATCGAGATTTGCCTCGTGCCAAGTGTAATGCAGGAATGACAGAGTTGGTTTTTGTTAGTCCAGGCCGATTATAGATGTGAACAACACTTGTATGCAGGTCAAAGTGTGTTGTACTTGATGATCAGCTCTGTATAAGGTCTTTGATGCTCAGTTTCTAAATTAGTCTAATAGGAATTGGGGCTGGTTTCAGGCATGTTGCCTCAGGCAGACTGTGCTCTTAGCTGCTCTATGTCAGCCCCCCTTTCATGGCCATCTAGGTGACTTATTCCTGCATGAGCAGAAGAGGCAGCTTACTGGTTTTGTGGTGTAAAAATGAAGCATTTTGGATGGGACGAGGCTTGGAAAAAGACACTCAGCCTTCTTTGGGCGTGTGTCAGATATTCCTTCTCAGTGGCACTGTCATATTTTGCTTTTGCCCTTGTCATTTGGAAGAAGCTGCTGTAGAGGTTATTATTATTATTTGGTAGTTAATCTTAATTTCCGGTTGCTGACAATGTATTACTCATATTATTCCTGCCTTCACTAAGTTGTGTGTTTGTGATTGCATGTTTCTTAACTTTTTCTTTTTAAGAAAGGGAGGTTCAGATAATCCTCTGTAAGAAGTTTCAATGACTCCATCATTTGCCCTGGGAATGTAACTCATGCAATGTGAATTACACTCTGTCTTTCTCTCACAGTCCCTCGCTCTATCTCTACCTCTTTTTTTTTAGCCAGAGAAAAAAAATCCCTAACAGAAAAATCTGGAAGTCCTGGAAACATGCCTCTTGCTGTTTCAAAAGTAACTTTTCCAAACAAAACACATTCCTCCAGTTTGAAGCGATGGAGGGGGTTGGTCGGGGGTGGGTGGGGGGGGTTTCTTGAGCTGTAGAGCTGGGGGAAGACATTGCTGGTGTGCCTTGGAGAGTCGTATTTTGTTGATGAACATATGATTTGTGTAGAGAAGCCTATTTGGGGGGGGGGGGGGGGGGTTGTTGCAGCAGGTGGTCCCTAGTCATGCCCCCTGACCCATTTTAGTGGGAGGGTCAGGAGAGACACCCAGATGCCATGCTGGAAGCCTAGGAGAACATTGACACACATCATTAAGTCGATGTCACACACTACTTCCCATTCCACGTTCCTTCTTGGGGGTAACACATGGTGGAATCAGCTCGGGTGTTTTTTTTTCTTTCTCATATTTGTTTAACCCTGCTGTCTTGACCTGTAACGTTTAAGCCACTGTTTCACATGCATTTCCGTTTTTGGAGGTGGGAGTGAAAGACCAAAGAAATGCTATGTACAGCCACAGAGAATTTAAAAGCTCTGAAGCGTGCTGATGTCAGAAACGGGGGGAGCAGGGGGGGACACATGTCTGTACTTAGAGGGTGCTGGTAAATAGTTTTATCAACCTGCTCATGTAAGTGCTAATCGGCCAAGCTTTCTAACAGCTGCTTTTCAGACAATAGCAAGACAGTATTTCTTGTGAGTACGCAAAGTTCCTTACCGGTTGTGGTCTGAGGAATTCCTGAGCTCGCAGGCCCCTGTGGAATGTTGAAAAATTCAGTGGAATGGCTGTTTGACTGAAAGGTAACTGGATATTAAGATCTAAAAGTGTGTCAACTAATACAAAAATGACTATACATCAACATCAATACTACAGCCTTAGACTGAAGCTCCCCTTCTCATTTCCAGTGACTGTTCCATTTGATTGATGGAATCGGTTATTAAAAATTGTTGATGATGGTTTCAGTCTGGGAGGCGGAGGCAAACTGACAGAATTGGCTGACAGAGCTGCTGCAACCTTTCTTGAAAGAGAGTAAGTGACAGATGAAGAAACTTAAATCCATGGCAGAGAATAGCTTTTGGTAAGCAAATTTTAGAAGGTTAGATCTGTGTATGTAAAGTTCTCAGAGTTTGTGACCAAGGATAGCTGTCCTGTGAGTTCATTCCATGCTGAAATACTATTTTCCTCATTAGGAGTTGTATACTAGTGGCATTACAGGAAATTACATTGACAGTATCTGGAATTATTCAGGAACCAGATTAGCGATTTTTGTCTTTTAGTAAATTGTGTACTAGTTTTCCTTTTGCAGTGCTTGTAATTTCCAATTTTATCTATAATTTAGCATTTATTTTTTGAAATGGTGAATGAAAAGTAGAATATTGATGAATTGGGATTGTGCCGTTTGTTGGAAGTATTGCTTGCAAGAACAAGCAAGGTTTCTGATAAGGGTTATCCGAAACACAGTAGGATTCTTTGTTCAGAACTTTTCACATAAATAAGACCACTTGCTGACTTTCTAGTAGAAGACAGTAAGATAAAAGCAAAATTCCCTTCTTACTGTGTCTGCTTTTCAAGTAGCACTTTTGAAATTCACCCTGTTCCTTCAGCAGCCGGACTGATGGCATTTTAGATTTGACCTGTGCATCTGGGCATTTTAATGATTTAATTATGAAAATTCCTTTGGCAGGTTCGTGAAACAAATTTGCCAAATGAAGGTTAAGCAAAGTCTAAAAAGTTGCAGTCCTTACGTGTTAATAAAATCATTAAATGTTTATTTTTATTGTTATAATGCTGTTAAGATGAAATATATTTTGGAACCTTTCAAGTGTTATGGTCGCAACAAGGCAAAATAATGATTAAGTAATAATAACATTTAAATTTTCTTTATCGGTTTGGCGGGTGAATAATTGCCGGTGGTTTTTTCATTTTTCCAATGAGTTTTTTTTAAACTTATACATAATGTCTGTAAAGTATTTGTATGACTTTTATTACAGAGATGTGTTGTTGTAAGGATGTGAACCACATCAGTTTGATCACCACGTTAAATGCTAGGTCCCAGGTCACACCGGGCACAAGTCAGGGACATTGTGAGTAGGATTCTTGTTTTCTGGGGGAAAAAAATAAAAGAATGCAAGCTACCAATGCATCACAGGCTCACTGGTGATTGGGCAAAATGTTCTTGTTATGGCTGGGAGACTTTTATAGTGAGAGAATCTGATGTGGTGGGCAGACTGAGGCCTGATTTTTGAAGGTCAGTCTGGTGGTATGCCTGTGGAGAGGGCGGGTACCTCTTGCAGGGCAGCAGGCGCCCGCAGAGGCCACCTTTCAGGCTGGCATAGATGCCAGTCTATGGCAGACATGCCCGTAAGTCTGCCAGTACAGTGGCGCTTTCACACGCTTGGCCCAGACATACATGCATATACAACCATTTCCTGTCTCCCGGCCACCTCCGGAAGCCAGTGTTATGGAAGGGAAGTGAATCCTGCTGTAAAGGCACTCCGGTTTGTGGGCGGCGGGAGGGGTACAGGCCGGAATGAAACGTGACCCGTGTCTTTTTGCCTGGCTGCACAAACATAAAGCCCCCTGCTGCCCAAGAGTCCCATGGGCAGCTTTGTCATTCACTCCCAGAATGCTGTTCTGTGATTTCAGGGGGCACTGGGATCTGGCTCTGCCGGCCAGCCTGGGGATTGCCCAACCGCCCCCCCCCCCCCAGTGTTTGGCGGAGGATGCAGAATGCTGATTTAATCAGCAAAGAGAGTAAACAGAATGCCCCCCACCCATGCTGCTGGGCTCTTTGACCGCAACCTGGCCCACTCTCCTTTGAGAGGGGGTCATTTTCTGTCAGGCAGTATTTAGACCTTGCTCTGCTTTAGTTCTCCAGCAACAGTGACGTGTGTGTGTAAGAGAGAGAATGAGTGAGTGAGTGCGGGGGGCTCCTATCTAAATGCAGTTGGGAACAGCCTGCTAGCCCTCAGGTCCGCCCCTCAACCCTCCAGGGTGGAGAGAGTAGACGGACCCCTCCCATTCCCCACCTCTTCAGAGCTCAGTCCCATGACACTGGCCTTGAGTTTAGGATTACATGAGTTCGCTCTGCGTTAACAGCTCACTCCATTGGTATCAGTATCGCTTCGCAGCTTAGGGTCTTTGAGTAGGCCTCAGTTATGGGTTTGTGAAGCCAGGTGCCGTGTGTGTGCATGTATGTTTTTCGTCCTGCTTCCGGGCCCATTCTGCATGGCTCCAATTGATTTTGGGGGTGTGAAAAAATGTTCAGAGACAGAGCAGACCAAGCATAGTTGGACAATCAGGCGTCACATAAGAGGCACAAGACTAATCTGAACGGGATCTCTTACACATCAGGCCTGTAATCTGTATGTTCACTTTTACAGTTGGGGAGTTGTAGTGTGTGGGGGGGGGGGACGCCCTTTTGGGCTTTAAGTTTTTTGAAGATGCCCTGTGACCTAGATATTACCCCTCTGGAGTGGTGAGGGCCCCATGTCGACACCCCGCAGTTTGCTCCTGTGTGCCTTAAACAGGGCTTTGTGGGGAGGTTTGAGACTTACAGACATTCTGATTCTTTCGGCTGCCCCCAATCAAACCTCCCAAGAAGAGCCCCCCCTTCAGGACAGTGGTCAATAATTCCTGTCTCCTTGTCAGGGGCAGAGCTTGCATTACAGTGCTTGATGTACTGTAATGCCTGTGTGATGTGCTGCTTCATCTATCCCCCTCCTCTGTCTTTTCTCCACTCTTCACCCACATGCTATAATAAGCTGTGCTAAAAATGCTCCCTTTTGCTCTCCTAAAGATCCCGAAACACTTCCAGCTAAAACGACAAAGAATTCCCCACATAGCTTTTCCTTTGATCTCTTAGGCTCCCGGGAAGGCTTGGGTCACATGACTGTTCTCCTCCGATACGGCAGGGAGGTCATTTCTGAAGCAGCGTCTGTCTCCAGACGATTGAAAAACAAATGGCTTGATCGTTGTCGTTGCTGGTCCAGTCACAGTGAGTCTGGTCTAGCGGCTGGACACCCCCCCCCCCCCCCCCCCCCTTGAAGATGAATGAGTGCTGCTGAGCTGCCGTGTTTTCCACAGCCCTCCTCCCTCTCTGGCGGGGAACACAGGCCCTGTGTCCGAACCTACTGCTTACTCAATGGAAAATGGATGACGGGTCCCAGCCTGGAGTTTCTACTGTGGACCCCAGGGCACTGAGCCTTAACTTGCCGAGATGGGGAGGGGAGCTTTAGGCAGAGATAATGTTCCTCAGCAGACTGAGGCTCTGCAAGGAGAAGTATGAAGTACGCCATGGTTTCTGAGCCTTCAGTGAGATCATTTATACAAAGAAGGACAACCTAACTATCTAAAGACTTTGTTTGCCTTTTTCATACACCTTGTAGCATCATAGTTGTACCTGGGAAATCCTCCTTTGAACCGCTTATCATGATTAGTGCCACAGGGGGCTTAGAACCTATCCTCTGCAGCATTGGGCACAAATCTGGAGGGTATACCAGTCCATCACAGGGCATTCTAGACACCAGTTAGCCTAACTGCATGTCTTTGGACTGCAGGAGGAAACCAGAGTGTTGGGAGGAATCCCAGCGCACATGGGAAGGACATGCAAATACTACACAAACACAGCAGAAGTGGCACTCAAACCCTGAACTCTGCAGGTTAAAGGCAAGGCTGCCGCTCTCTGAGATATCCAACCTGTTGTAGCATAGTAGCTTCCATTAATACAGAGTTCCTTTTACATTTTATAGGAAATGCTTTCGGTTAGTTGCGCATTCATTGTATACAATAAAAAATATTGGATAAGTCCACGTGCACAAATAACTAGCTGTTCATATGCGATGAGTGCTTTGCCGTGTCTGAGTGTTTTGGCACGTGTAGGAGGCAAAGCAGTTTCTGCTCTCGCTGCAAAATTTGGGGAGGGGGGACTGGAAGAGTGGATAGTTGTTTTTGTCAGATCTCAAAGAGCAACCTAAATTTTTGCCCATAGCTTTGGGAAGAAAAACAGTGGAAAGTTGGCTGGATTAGCTGCATGGCTGCTTGCTTCACCCTGGTGTGCTGTAAATCGCTTTCATCTGTGCTTTATCTGCTTAGCAGCTCTGCTACACCTGGCTTCCATCATTTTTACCAGGAATATGTACAGTTCAATACATATAAATATGTCGATCTCCTTTAACTTAATGGCATCTGGTTCTGCTGAATTTTTCTTCCTCAGTCTGTCATAGTAACTGCTGCTGATTGTTAGTAGAAAGCGTTTGTCACAAACACGTATTCTGAACAGATCTGATCAATTATTCATAATGTCCTGACAGTTGCAATGTGGTAGTTTACAAAACAAATGAAATATTCATGGGATAGTTCCTCCATATTTAGTTGGAATCTTTATTTGTGGTCTGTTTTGAATGTCTTATTTTTCTGGGGGAAAAAATATATATAATTAAAAAAGTAATTTGAAGGTGCAAGCTCTCTTGCAAGTTAGAGTTGGCTTTAAACTATATGCCTGAGGTGGAAATCCAGTGTCTGGGTGACTGAAAGGCTGCAGTCTGTTGTGACAAGGTGCTTTTTTACTTTTGAACACAGTGCCAAACGTGAGCGTCTCTGTGTAGACGGAGACATCTGCTGAGTGGATAAATAATCTGTTGTATGTTGGAGCATCATGGTGCTGGCTGCTATCTGGTCTCTGCTTTGGGGAGAGCTCATATTTATTTAGCAGACGTACATTTTTTGAGAAATTAGGGTCAGCCAGTCTATAGAGCAATTTGGGGTGAGGGCCTTACTCAGGGACCCAACAGTGAAACCAGGGCTCCAGACTACAACCATTTAGTCATGCTTTGCGACCATTTTTGGAGACTAAATTTTATAATTAGGTGCACCAGTGCGACTTGCAAATATGTGCCCCATTTATATCATAGGAGAATTTGTGTGTACAGTATGTGTGTGTGGGGAGCTTACGAAATTATTCAGAACTCACAATCAGGATCTAGGTTCCTGAATTTCAGTGGGGAAAGTGCTTCATGAAAAAGGCACAACAGCAGCATAATCTGTGCAGTGACAGATGACCTGACAGAACAGCTGTTGACTTTACGTTTACCTTTGTAATTATTGTATTATTTGGTGTTTATAGGTGCTTTCACACTGGTCCTATGCTGGACTTTTGAAGCTCCTGGCCACTTTCATGTGTCACTTTCATGCTTCGCAAAAGAACTGGGACCTTTATGCTAAACAAGCCTGGGAGACACAAAAAGATTGTAGGTTAAACTTCACACATAATTCAAAACTATCCCACCAACCCAGAACAATGGAGGATGAACAAGTTGTTTTGTTAGTTATTTTGGAGAGCAATCTCAATCAAAACAGGATAACAGTCTTTTACTTATATGTTACTCATAGAACTCACAACGTTTGCACAACGTTTAATTTCATTATTAAATCTGGCTGGCAGATCAATCTTTCTGCTTCACAGAATAAAAAACAATGTAACATTCTGCTAATAAGAGCTGGCAAGTTTCATCGCCTGGAAAAAGTTCCTGCAGTGTGAAACCACCTTATCTTTTAAAAAGCACCATTTAACTTTGTGACTGATCCCTTTAAAATACATTGCATGGTTATTTCTGTAAATTGTGTATTTATTACCGAAACATTTATCAGGAATACAGTTAAGATGGAAAAAAATAAGTGTGTTATATATTGCATGTCGATTTAAGTGGTGTGCCTAAATTTTGTGCTGGTGCTTCTAAAATTTTCAGTAAGGAGTACGTTGACTGGAATTCTTTGTCACCAGGTAACCTCACCTAATCAATTTGACAGGGAAATCCACTGAAATCAGGCCATGGGACTTGCTGTCCCGCTTCCCCGCTCTTGGTCTGCTTCATTTAACCCTTCAACCAGCTTGACTTCTCTGTTCCTTATGTTTTTTTTTTTCCATCCCCTGAAAAGAGTTTGCCTGAACATTGTCTGCTCTCCTCTTCAGAAGCTTATGTTTGTCTGCCCCCGTGTGGCACTCCAGTGAATAACACAGCACTGCTCCAGCCTCGATGAGGGCAGCAAGGGTTTGGGATGATGTAATGGGCAGGGTAGAATATAGGCAGCTTATATTGCATTGATGGCTTGCTTACTGGATACTCTAGTCTACATTCTGCTGTAGCCAGCTACCTCCCTGAGCGCCGTGGTTTTATGTTACCACCCCTATCCGGATTACACCCTGACAGGGGTTGTCTTGTAACACACCCAATTCAGATGGGCCTCATACAGGGGTGAGTTTACATCCCCCCTCTCTTCCATGTCCAGATCCAGCCGTAAATGAGTGTGGTGCCGAGAGCCCAGCATGAAGAAAGCAAGCAGGCCAGCCTCCACTAAAGCCCAGAGTGGAGAGCGGGGCAAGGCTGAAGGGGGATCGGCAGGCACAACAGGGAAGGCTGCTGCCAAGACGTCTGGCGTAGCGCCGTTATCCAAGGTATGTGTCAAACTCTGCTTCCAGACTTTTTCTCTGCCCATTCTCTTTGTGTATTCTCATCCTGATTTTCTGAATGGCTTTGCAGACTAAAAGCAATGATGACCTCCTAGCTACAATGACAGGGGCAGCTCCAGTCAACAACAGCACCGTCACCAAGGGCAAGAAGGGCAGCTCCATCCACCCGTCCTCCACAGCAACTAGCTCTGGGAACCCCGAGGGCAAGCCGAAGACAAACTCTGGTTTGCTTGTAGTATTATAATAATAATAATAATAATAATAATAATAATAATAATAATAATAATTATTATTATTATTATTATTATTATTATTATTATTATTTTTATTATACTTCTGCAGTTGCTTTATGGACCGAATCATCATTTCTGCTTGTTTCTTCCCCTCTCCCCTCACCTTTGATAAGGCTCTTCCACCAAACGTGGCACCTCTGTGACCTCCAAGGACCCCAGCTCATCCCGGGACCGACTGCGGAACTCCAGGACCTCTGGCGGTCGAAAGCTTTCAACGACGACAGCAACTGCAGCAGGGCCCACCGACGCAGTACAGGCAAAGCGTTCCCGCAGCCGCACCCTGGCAGAAACTGAGTCCCGCATGAGCAAGTCCAAATCAGACAGCCAGATTGGGGATAAGGCAGCGCTGGAGGCCAGGGTAAAGGACCTTCTGGGTCTGGCCAAGAGCAAGGACGTGGAAATCCTGCAGTTGCGCAATGAGCTCCGGGGCATGCGAGCGCAGCTGGGCCTGGGGGACGAGCCTGCAGATGAACGGGCTGACGATGAGGACAGGCCGCAGGGCAGGGAAGCATCTGCCATCACAGCTGCTGATGTGGAGTCCACCCTCCTTTTGCTCCAGGACCAAAATCACAGTATCCGTGATGAACTGAACCTGCTGAAGAATGAGAACCGAATGCTGAAGGACCGGCTTAACGCTCTGGGCTTCTCCCTGGAGCAGCGACTGGACGGGCCGGACAAACTCTTTGGCTACCAGTCTGCAAGTCCTGAGCCAGTGACGGACGGTGGTCACAGTGACCGCGGTGGTGCCCTAGCCTCATCCGTGGAGGGCTCGGCCCCTGGCTCCATGGAGGACCTGCTGGTGGAGCACCAGCGCAGCAGCTCCGTGGACAACCTAGACAGTGAATCCAGTGAGGTTTACCAGCCTGTCACTTCCAGCGACGACGCACTGGATGCTCCCTCTGGCGCCTCTTCCTCTTCCTCCGAGTCAGAGGGTGCACCAAGCCGCGAGCGGTCACGGAAGGGCAGCAGCGGCAACACGAGCGAGGTGTCGGTGGCCTGCTTGACGGAACGCATCCACCAGATGGAGGAAAACCAGCACAGCACAGCCGAGGAGCTCCAGGCAACCCTCCAGGAGCTGGCCGACCTGCAGCAGATCACGCAGGAGCTTAACGGCGAGAACGAGCGGCTGGGTGAGGAGAAGGTCATCCTCATGGACTCTCTGTGCCAGCAGAGTGACAAGCTGGAGCATCGGGGTCGGCAAATCGAGTACCTGCGCTCGCTGCTAGAAGAGCATCATGTGGCCTACTCCATGGACGAGGATGTCAAGAGCGGCCGTTACATGGAGCTGGAGCAACGCTACGTGGAGCTGGCAGAGAGTGCCCGTTTTGAGCGTGAGCAGCTGCTGGGTGTGCAGCAGCATCTCAGCAACGCGCTGAAGATGGCTGAGCAGGACAACAAGGAAGCCCAGGAGATCATCGGCGCACTCAAAGAACGTAACCACCACATGGAGCGCGCCGTCGAGTCCGAACGGCAGGAGCGGGCAGCTGCCGTGGCTGCGCTTGAGGAGTGCAAGGCTACAGCGGCCAGCGACCAAGCCGAGCTTAACCGTTGCCGGGTACAGTTGGAGCAGGAGCGCCAGAAGGTGGCTGAGCTCTACTCCATTCACAACTCTGGTGATAAGACCGACATCCGGGAATTACTGGAGAGCGTGCGCCTCGACAAGGAACAGGCTGAAGGCGAGGCCACCAGGCTGAGGGAGGATCTGGGCCACACCCGCAACGAGGTCGCCCGACTCCAAGACACCCTCAGCAAGGTGAAACCTACTCCTTAGGGTCTGGCCCACTGTCAGAAGCATGTTAGTTTGGGATCGTTGCAGGATTTAAAATTTTGTGTGCAAAAACTTTGTGTGCAATGCAGCTTTGACGTGATTTGCATAAATGCGTCTTTGCCCCAGTAGTCATAAACATTGTCTTAATGGGGTCCTATTATGCTTTTCCAGTTTTTTCCTTTGATTTAGTGTGTTATATAGCTTTATGTGCATGAAAATGGTCTGCCAAGTTTTAAGGTCCAAAGAACGTACCAAATGGAGTAACTCGCCACAAAACCCACTCTCCTCTAATCTGCCTGAAATGCCATGTTGGAATTTCAGTCCTTACTTCCGTGACATGGTGAGGTCACCTGGTAACAGAATGCTTATTGGCCGCCTACGTGCATGGATCTGTCTGCAGACTGAAAAATGGCTGTAATGGGTACAGCAAGCTGAATTGGACAAACTGACCAATCAGAGCACATTAGGCTCATTGGGGATGGGGCTTAAAACTTATAGGCAGTGAATAGAGATGTATAGCATGACAAAAATAATGTGTTTTTGGAACACTGAAGCATGTAAGTTTATTGTATTGGAACCCAAAAATAAAATTATGAACAGTGAAAATGAGCATAATAAGGCCCCTTTAATAGAATAGAATAGAATAGAATAGAATTCAACTTTATTGTCATTGCACATGTCACAAGTACCTGGCAACGAAATGCAGGTAAGAGTAGGCTAGTGGTTAGTTCCCTACTCCAGGTTGCAGTATTTCGCTTGACCTTGTTCCTGTGCCTGGGTATCCCTGCTTCGGTGTCTGCATGCCTCCAGTTGGACGAAGAATACCGGGATTTCAGGGATGAGCTTCAAAAACAGTTGGCAGAACAGAAACGAGCCCTGGACAAGCAGCGTGAGGAGCTGGAGGAGAAGGACACAGAGATTGGGGACATGAAGGAGACCATCTTCGAGCTGGAGGACGAGGTGGAGCAGCACCGGGCGGTCAAGCTGCACGACAACCTCATCATCTCTGACTTGGAAAGTGAGTGTTGGAGCCAGGAGGGGCGCGGGGGCTTTGAGGGAGAGGGCGGCCTTTTGTAAGGCTCCCATGGAGTAACCGTGGGCTCTGTGCTGGGGTAACACACTATTCCGGTTCTCTAAGATGAGTGATGAACATGCTGTGTGTGGGTCTGTGGGTGATCAGAAGGTCACCGGATCGAATCCTATGGTCAGCAGAGTGATTTCTGAGAGAGGCTCTTCACCCCCAGTTTCTGCAGGGACCCTGCTTTTCTGAATGTGCATCTCTTTGGAAAAGAGAGTCTGCTAAATCAATACATGTAATATGAAATCATTATTCCAAACATTTCCTGGTGAAATTCTGCAGATGTGCTTCATCTAACAAAAATCCTTGGAACCATCAAGGCGATTGACCTGTGGATACTGGTATTCACTTGTAGTTGTGTTTTCTGCCTCCATAGATTGAAGAAAAGCAGGGTACAGATAAAATGCTAATGAACACTAGATGGAGCCAAACAGCTATTTTCAGCCTGCACAGCTCAGCGACAATGATTCTTTGGTCACAGCTGGAGTCACCGTGCTGGTGGATTGGCAGCATGGTCGTTCAATCAGATGTTTTACTGTCTTGTAGCTCCAGAGTCTAAAGTTTAACCCCAGATCAGCTTATGTGAGATGTCAGTTTCTCATTATAGCCAAATACAGTCAAATAAAAGCATAATGTTTTTTGCTGCAAGTCACTTTCCAGCTGAAGTCAGACAGGTGAAGTTGTTTTTCATGTTTTCTTTCAGACTCTGTAAAGAAGCTGCAAGACCAGAAACATGACATGGAGAGAGAGATAAAGATTCTGCACCGGAGGCTGCGGGTGAGTGTTTGGTAGCAGATGCTTAGGGGGTCTCTGGGGGTGGGGGGTTGTGATCACTAACGAGTTCACCACACCTTGTGCACAGGAGGAGTCTGCGGAATGGCGCCAGTTCCAGGCCGACCTGCAGACTGCTGTGGTCATCGCCAACGACATCAAGTCGGAGGCCCAGGAGGAGATCGGCGACCTGCGTCGGCGTCTGCAGGAGGCCCAGGAGAAGAACGAGAAGCTGAGCAAAGAGCTGGAGGAGCTGAAGAACCGCAAGTACGTAGGACGGGCAGGGCTAGGCATGGAGGGGGCGTGGTCCCCAGCACGGTGCCTGAACCGGCTGGTGTGCACCCACAGGCAAGACGAGGAGCGGGGCCGTGTGTATAACTACATGAATGCAGTGGAGAGGGACCTGGCGGCTCTGCGTCAGGGCATGGGCCTGAGCCGGCGCTCCTCCACCTCCTCTGAGCCGTCACCCACCGTCAAGACCCTCATCAAGTCGTTCGACAGCGCCTCACAAGGTGCCCGTCGCCAAGCCAAACTCTTTGCTCCTGGCCGTGTGACACGTTGAGCCCTCCGTCTGCAGGGGACGTCTCCTTACTGGAGTGTGTGCTTGCAGGTCCAGTCCCCACCACGTCGCCCCCTCCTGCTGCAGCCGCTGCTACCACCACACTTCCCCGGACTCCCCTGAGCCCTAGTCTGCTAAAAACTCCCCCTGCGGCCGCTGTCTCACCTATACAGGTAGGGTCACCTGGGCATGATGTGACGTACGGGTGGTCCTGTAGGTCCTCCTTGCACTTGCTGGTATGTTATCATGCAATAAAGTGCTGCCAGTTTAAATAATTTGTTTGGGATTCTAGGCCTTAAGGTTCATTCCCACTATGCACGGTGAGTTTTCCCAATTGCGAGTTCTGCGATTCTGTGCAATGTATGATGTTCCCACTAGTGTGCTGCTTTGCAGTGCATTTTGAAAACACACTGCTGCATGCATTTCTCTGCATTTCGTATGTGTTTTTTTTTTTTTTTTGCTCCCTCTTTCTCCCCACAAACACTAGGGACAATCAAGTACAGTCCTAGAAATGACTAATACAATGCAACGTTAAAAATGAGACTTAAATGCAGAAAACTGCATGCTGGAAAAAAAACACACGTCATTGTGTTGGGCTGCATTGCATTTTTTGGCTTCCCTAGTGTGAACATACCCTAATTCGTGGTCGACACAGGCAGCTGGCTAGACAGATATATGATGGGAGTGGGGTCCTTCACAGGAATGTGATCGCCAGGGTTGACTCGACTGGTTTATTCTTATGGAACAGTCGCCATGTTCTGCGTGTTGCATGTGTTTTTGTGCTAGTAGGGTGCCATTTGACTGCCACATCCTGTCCTCATTTCAAAACTGTCCCGTCCCCCCTCGCAAGCCACCAAAACCTTGCTGATAGCCGTCCTTCCTTTTCCTGCCGTCACCGCAGACAGTCTCTGGCCTCCGTCCAGCCCAGACCTAATGACAGAGACCAGCTGACTGGGGAGAGTTTATCTATGCCACAATTGTGTTCTTATTTGCTTCTGGGAAAGTAGGGGTTTGTCGTGCCATAAAATGTGGCTTTTCTGCTCTGGCTGCCGCCACATTTGTGACTCGTATAGTCCTCGAACACCTGTTGGGGAGATGGCGTCCACAGCTTCTCGGGCTCCTCTAATGGCAGCCATTTCTCCCTTTCTGTGCCTTCGGCACATGCTCTTTCAGGCATCTCGGGACTTTCTGAATTGTTGTTTTGTATTCGTGTCTTGTGATAAGCATTAGGCTTTGGTTTTGTAATGCGAAGATTTTATGTAGCATCTCGACAAGATAATTGTTACCTCGAGCTCTTAAGCCTTTTTTGGGGGATTGATATCACAATATCTGTCATGAATGTATGTGAGATTGGAAATGGGCATATCTGTAAAAATCGTTTGAGATTTCGGATGTATAGCCATAAAGCTTATAATACTTGTGCATGGTAAATGCCTTATACCATCATTAGTCTGGGATATTAATAAGCGTGTAAAAGCTTTAGAGGCAGAAACGTCTGAGAATCATGAATGAGTGTCTCTGTATGCCAACACAGGAAGACACTGCTTGGGCCACCAAGGTGGTGCAATACTTAAAGGGTTTGCCGTGGATCCTAAGAGAGGCTCGTTCCTTGTACCTTTGAGCCCTGTATTTTTGCTGAGCTGATTCAAACGCACTGTGCCCTCCTTTATTCCAGAGACACACCATGAGCGGGTCCATCTCCACTCCGAAGCCCCTCCCCTCCCTTGGCGACAAGAGGCCCGCCTATGCGGAGATCAGCGTGCCAGGTGGGTTTTCCGGGGACCCTCAGCAGCGGCCCCGCCACCTCCCTCGCTTATCTTCCTTCTGCCTCCCTCAGCAGGGCAGTCAGCATTCATTTTAGCTCCGTTTCGGGTAGGAGCTGAGTGTGTTTCTTTAAAGGCCCCAGGGTAGGAGGCGGCCCTCAGGAATGCCGGTCTCACTGGCTGAAAAACATACAAATTTGCAGGTATCCAGTTTCCCTGCAGCGTGGCCCAGCTGCCTTGAAGCCTGCCTGAGCAATGGCACTTTTCATGTTGCTCACCCGGCCCAGTCCTTTGGCCATGGCGTCGCTCTGTCTGATCCAGCGTGCCCTTGTTTGTGGGCAAAGCTGCGCTCCTTGCTTTTGTGAGATCAGACCGGATTGCTCCATCACTCACCAAGACGCACCGGTCATATGTGGCTGGTTTTCCTCTGTGCTACGTGTTTCCGCGACGTCTCTTGTCCTGCTTACGTCAGTCGTGGAAAAAAATTAAAATGAAATACCGTGAGACGGCCGCATCTCCAGTGTCGCATCCCTCACTGGTGTTTTCTCACGGCTCCGGCCACCGTCCTGGCAGGAAGTGGCCTTTATTTATCGTTCTCTGTGGTCAGGGTGAGGGTCTCCCTGGCGTCTGCTACTGCAGTCTATCATTTTTTGAGACTCCTGGGGTTTAGGAATGGACCACTTGGGAATGGGGTGGAGAGCAAGACATCAGGGGCACTAAAAAGTGTCAGTTTAAAGCTTTGTCATAAGATGCCCCTCCCTCCTTTGATTTTATTATGGTGCTTCGTGGTAGACGTGCAGACCAGGATGTTCTACTCCCCCCGCACCCCACCCCGTTCTACACCCCCACCTTCATACCATAATTACCAAACACCCCCCGCAGTGATATAGCCCAGGGGCAGCATCTTCAGAACAGGCAGGCTCACCCGTGTGGCGGGCTTACGCTCATTTCACAGGAGAGCCACACAGCTGGAAGGTGCCACAGGCCAGCAATTACCTGTGTTTTAAAGGCCTCTCGCCCCACCCTTCTCATTTAGAGCCTTTTTAAATGAAATGCAGCTGGTTGAGACCTCGGGGTTCTGCGATAGGGAATATGCAGAATTACCCTTGACTGATTTAAATTTAACAAAAAAAAAACACAATTTGCATTTGTTATCAAAGCCCATTACTGGTAACCTGCCACTGCCCCCTAGAGCTTCAGCACAGACATCACGCAGCCGAATCGTTCCCCAACAGTGTCGGATGGCGCACTGTGACATTAATGCTGATCAGCCTCCAAGCTTTATAACCAGGAGTGCAGTGTGGTTTCCTCCCTTGTCATGTGACCATGATGTCATATGGCTGATTGCTGCCACCCACCGATGATTCATCTGTGTTGGTGTCAATTCAGAAGGTCAAAGTGGATTTTACTTAAAGCGAGTTTCCCAGAGACTCGGGGGGGCTTCAGTTGACCAACTGTGGTCAGGAAGCCATGTGGTGGGTGATGACATTGAGGTCAGAATAACCATGGTGATTTGTGTGTGTAAGGACAGTTTATGAATGGCGTGGATCTCCATCATTTGCTCACTGTAGACAACAGATAGAGGAAGAAATTGGAATGGATGTAGCATTGCAACTAAAATCTGTGTCTGTCACTCCACCGCAGTACATTTCACAAAGAGCATAAATGATCTGGTGACTGGCCTTGTATTCTGGTGTGAGTATCATCCACACACTCACTGTCTGTTCGTTAAGTCTAGGAGAAATCGCACATTAACTTGCTAGAATGTGTTTAGGCAAAGGTTACCTGTCGATTAGGTTACCATCTCTGCTACAGGCCTGGATGAAGAGGCTGGTTGGAATGGTTGATTAAAAGTGCCAAAGAATGAAAATCTGCCTTGACCTCGGCATAGCTGAATATGGAGAGATCGGTGCGTGGAACTGATATACTGTGAATCTCAAACACAGTTGTTCCCTCTTTCAAATATAAATATGTAAAAGAAGGTGGTAAAATGGGATGATTCATAAATCTTAGGCTGTTACGTAACTGTCGTAACTACGCCCCCAAACTTAATATACACCATCCCACTTTCAAACCCAATGGACCTGCACAACCTGTAACAGATATTTTCTCTCTCGGGGGGCATGCATGCAGCTTCCATAACTGCACCATTTGCGAGCTTGCTATTTGGAGTTTTTGAAAATTGCATGATGAAGGTTAGCACTATAAAATCATTTGTTGTGAGAGGTACAACATATTTACAGTGTACTTGTTATGATGCTGAAAACGAAGTTATGACAATGCTGATGTTGTACCTAGGCTGAAGTAGGAGTATTATAGCTATGTGTGGCAAAGTTGTGTACAGAGTACAAAATAACAGCAATGATAAATGCACAGTATAGGAAATATATAAACCAGTAACTGTTAATATCATTATCAAGTATAATGTACTGTATGTAAATTTATGTGCTTTTGCATGATTGGCTGTGTAGTAGGTTTGTTTATACCAGCATCACCACAAACACGTGAGTAATGCGTTGCCATATGACGTCACTAGGCGATTTTATTAATTTTTTTCTAGCTCCAGTTTAATCTCATGGGACCACAGTCGTAAATCCTGTTCATCATTGACCGAAATATTGTCATGCAACACATGACGGCAGAGATGTTGGTTCTGTGTGAGTCATCGCAGTGCCTCACTATAAACCAGCCAATCAGAGCAGAGCTTATCAACATATTAATAAGCCCACCAAAAAAGGGAAAACGGCATGTTTAATTCTAAGGCCAAATAATAGGGTTGTAAATTCCCCCTGTAAAGCTGCTTCTGGCACCTTCTTTGTAGACACCAGAGAACGATTTAAAATACCGAAAAAAATACACCTTTAACAAAATTTATAAATAGGACATGTGATGGGTTGATGTCTTTGCAAGCTGCGTTTTGTCACCTGGATGACAGAGTTGATGTTCACCTCAGTCTTATGTACAGAAATCAAAAAGCTAATCAGAGTTATCATAAAAGCTACTTCTGCTTGCTGGTCGCAATGACTCGTGATGCAGTGTTCTCTGAAATATACGATTGGTTACATATTTAGTGTTGGCCTAAAGACTAGCGATTAAGATTCATCTTTTAGACATCTTTAATATTGCCTTGAAGAATCCCAGCAGTGTCAAGGATTTGGGGATTTATTTTGTCATCAGTCTTCATGGAAGTTTACTAATTGTTTGTATCTGTTCTGTTCATTATCTGATATGTTTTGGGAATAGAGAATAAATCCTTCAGTAGGTCTTGTAAACAGACTTCCATTGGGGGCTTTCTGCATGTCCTGCTCTCTACCCCATAGCAGAACACCTCCTCCGTGGCCCTCCAGGCAGTCGTCCTGGGTCTGCCCTGCAGAGGGTCTCCAATATGGACTCCACCAAGGCCATATCAGGTTTGTGGGCATGTTTCTGTGTGTGTGTGTGTGTGTGTGTGTGTGTGTGTGTGTGTGTGTGTGTCTCGCTCTCTCTCTCTCACTCTCTCTCTGTTTGTATTTATCTGTCGTGTGTGTGTGCATATGTGTGTTGTTTTTTTACTGCTTGTGTGTGCATATTCACATCAGCTGTGCCATCCAAGACCTCAGGGATTTTCTCTGAAGGCGACTTCCTCATTTGACTGCTTTGCTAGGAATAAATTATTTAAATAATGGCTGAGTCAGGTATTGATTTAATCCCCTAGATAAGCTCTTACAGGATGGACCAAGGCTGGACGAAGGCTGGACGGTTTCACTTCTGCTTTCGCTTACCCCCAACATAGAACAATAACGCAAACAATAAATCCTTTCAGGACAATGGGCTGCTCTCTGTGTAGACTTCACCACTGAGTGGGTCACTTGCTGTATTTCCCACGATGTGGCTATCATCACAAGCCTCTACCTCCAGGGCTTCCGGTCCCAGTTAGATGCTTTACTATTATTATTATTTTTTTTTTATTTAAGGCTTATTATTTTTGGAACTTGGATGGAAGCCAATTTATGATGACGATATGCTTGACTTATTAGACTTAAGTTAATGATAGTCTTGTGTCCCTCTTTTTCACACCTGAGACTGAACAAGAGCAGCTGCCTGTGGGGGGGGGGAAACAAAAAAACAAACAGAGTGATTTTAAGTGGGACCTGTTGCTGGCAGGATGGCACAGGGGGCTGTGAGAGCTTTAATTGGCATTCGCAGAAGCATGGCTGGAGCGCAGGCGAGCGGGGGGATGCTTTGTTAGGGAGTTACTCCAGTTGCATGAAGTCTGTCCTACTGCGTAATGTAATGGCAAAGCTATTAAAATAATCACAAAGCCCAGAAGTGCCACCCAGCCCTGTGAATTAAGACCAGCAGGGGGTATAGTGGTTAAGGAGCTGAACATGCAGGTTTAAACCCCAGGACTGGGAAATGCCGTCAAACCAATCTTTGACTCTGTAACTTTCCAGATCGCGTGCCAAAACCCCCCCGCCGTGTTGGTTCAGGAGAACCCAGGAACATTGTGTCACTTCCTCTGCCTTCCATAGTGTCCCGTCGGAGCAGCGAGGAGGTGAAGAGGGACATCTCGGCCCCAGAGTCGGCAGCTGCCGCTTCACTGATGGCCATGGGCGGGACCCCCAGCCAGCTTTCCTTGGCCTCGTCATCACCCACCGCTTCGGTGACCCCCACTACACGCAGCCGTCTCCGGTGAGGGCACATTAATGTGACTGGGTCCTCACCATGGTGCCATTACAGATTATGGGCAAAAAAATGTGTGTACGAGAACCATTTAAATTAATTAACTAAATAAAATTCTTTTGGACTGCTTCTCCTGTAAATGAAATGTCGACTATAGTTAATACCGAAAAATTAATTTATTGTTGTTAAACAGTTTCCTGAAAACAGAGGCAATTTTGTGACATGCTTTTGTCCTTCTGTCCTTCACCGCTCATTCGTTTTGCAGACTCTCTCAGATCCACCTTATTTTCCCAGTTTCTGCTCTAGTGACAGATTCCTCCATCATCCTCTATCTCCCTTCATCTTCTATCATTTCAATAGTTAATCATTTAAATTTCAGAGTATCCATCTGTCCATACATCTTCCAACTGCCTTTCCAGTACAGCGTCAAATAGTTTATGGTTTTATCGTCACGTATTCAGAAAAGACGATATGCATAATTCCGTTAACAATGAATCTATTAACATTACAGTAGTGTGCAAAACATTAGTTATGCAAAGGGGGACCAGATGCAGGTTATTGGTTGTTTAGCAACCTGAAGGTATGCCCCGATAGCACCTTCTGGAAGTGCGGAGTGTGAGGAGGTCGTACTCTGGGTGGCGGGCATCCCTGATGATGGACTCGGCCCGCTTCTAGCAGCGGGAGAGGTAGGTTGGTGGTAGGTGAGGGACATGAGGGCTGAGGATCTTCGTGGCCAGCAGTTTGAGGTCCTGAGCTGTTATGTTACCCAGCCACACCATCATGCTTCCGGTCAGGAAGCTCTCAGTGGCACAGTGGTAGGTCACCAGGGTTTTGGTTCCCAGCCCAAAGCTCTTCAGGTGCCTTAAGGAGGATAGCCTCCGCTGAGCTTCCATGAGGATGCAACTGCTGATGAGAGACCATGAGAGGGAGCCAGTGACCTGGACGCCCAGGAACCTGAAGCTGCTGAGTGACTCAGTGGGAGATCCATCAATGAGTAGTAGGGAGTTAAGACCTCTGGTCTTCCTGAAGTGAACAATGATCTTCTTTGAGTTGTTGACATTCAGGGAGAGGTTGTTATCGTGGCACCATTCTGTCAGGTCTTTTATCTCCCTGCTGTAGGCAGGCTTGTCATCATCGCTGTAATCATGGTGGTGTCACCTGCAAACTTGTGCTTTTCCACATAGTCCATGGTGAACAGGCTGCACAGCAGCCACCTTGGGGAAGGCCAGAGGGCCGGCAGCCGCCTTGGGGAAGGCCAGAGGGCCGGCAGCCGCCTTGGGGAAGGCCAGAGGGCCGGCAGCCGCCTTGGGGAAGGCCGGCAGCCGCCTTG